TTCGACTTTGCCAGTTTTGCCCGGTGGGCGGGGTGCGCCAACTGGTCCAAGCAGCCGACGACGCAGCCGACCAGGCAGTCAACGAGGTAGCCAGCCAGGCATTCAACGGGCGAGAAAGGCAGCCGCCAGGGACACCAAATCAGCCCGCGAGGCAGCCAAACATGCAGGCAAAGAAGCCACTTGGGTGGGGCCTGACGAAGCAGTCGCAAGTGGGCATCCAAACATTGATCTCCCGGGCACTCAACCCAAACGCGTGTCGCGCAGACACCGGGATCCGGCCCGCACGATGGCGGGGTGCTGCCAGGCGCATCCAGGTGCGCCAGTTGCAGCCAGGCGCGCCAGGTGCGCCGCAGACCACCCGCGCTTGATTTTCGCATATCGCTCGAATCACTCGCCCCATCACTCTTTTTGTTTCACGTATCATGCGTACTTCTCGCTCGAGAAAAAAGATTAGCAGTAGTAGAATTATTGCTTGTTCTGCGAGCGATACGAACGATGCGTCAAACATGGGGCGCGATGGGACGAGCGATGTGGTCGATACGTGACAAAGCGGGTGGGGAACGATTTGCGCCGCCCCGGAAGGGCCAGCGTTTCTCGTAGATAGGCATCTGCAGCCGCCTCGGCCCTGCCAGCCCTGGCTAAGGAGCGATTGGACGACTGATGCGAGTTATACGTGGCGAGCGAAGGTCGGGAGGCGAAGAGACACACAGACACACTTCATCGTCGATCCCCAGGAAGATGTGGAACGTATGGAAAGTGTGTGGGGGGGAAGACGAAAACCCAGGGGAGGATGAGGAGGAGGACGCAGAGGAAGAGGAGGAGGATGAGGAGGAGGAGGAGGAGGAGGAGGAGGAGGACCCCCCCCTCCAACTTGTTGTGGTGGTGTTGGAAAACACGCCCGTCAGAGGTGGGGAGCCCACAGCGGATGGGCGCCCCGCTCGAGACGTCCCCGACGAGACCTCCTCCCGAGGAGCCCAACAGCGACGTCAGTTGCAGGAGGTTCGATCTCGACAGGAGGTTCGGGCTCCCGCTCGAGACTTTTTCCCCAGACTCTCTCTCTCACGTGCGGGGCCTCCGCTCGACACTTTCTCCAGATTCCCAAGACTGAAGAGCCCGAAGGAATTCTCAAGCTTTCCTCCATACTCGCAAGCTCTCCTCCACATTCAAGCCTCGGGAATCTCAAACTGACAACAGTCACAAGGTTTCCGAAATCAGCGCGGATTCGACCATGGAGGTGGGGACCCCACGGGGGGGGGCTCCCGCTCGAGACTTCCACACGAATCTCTCACAGACGAGGCCCCCGCCCGAGACCTCTTCCAGATTCTCAAGCCGGAGGGGCCCAAAGCGACGACAGTTGCCGGTTTTCCGAAGCTTGCATGGACGTAGGCACCCCTTCGGGAGGGGCTCCGCTCGAGACTTCCTCGCGATTGGCTCACAGACGACGCTCTGGCTCGAGACTTCTTCCATATTCCAGCTTGAGTTGCTCAAAGGTGACGACCACTACAAGTTTTCTGAACCCCGCCGGGATTCGATCATGGAGAGGGGGACCCCATAGGGAGGGGTTCCCGTTCAAGACTTTCTCGCGGATTCTCTTACAGGCGAGGCTCCCGCGTGAGTTTTCCTCCATATTCAAGCCTGAGGAATCCCAAACTGACGACAGTCACAAGTTTCCCGAAACCAGCGCGGATTCGACCATGGAGGTTGGGACCCCACAGTGAGGGGCTCCCGCTCGAGACCTCCTCGCGATTCTCTCACAGACGAGGCTCCCGCCTGAGACGATCTCCACATTCAAGCCGGAGGAGCCCAAGAGTGTCGGCGGTTTTAGGTTTTCCGAAGCCCGCTGGGATTCAAACGTGGAGGGGGTGACCCCATAGGGAGGGGTCCCCGCTCGAGACTTCCTCGCGAGTCTTCTACAGGCGCGGCTTCGCTCGAGACTGTCTCCAGATGCAAGCCCGAGGAGCCCAAACCAGACGACAGTGATGAGGTTATGGATGGCCGCTTGGGATTACCAGCATGAAGCGCGGACCCCATAGGGAGGGGGCTCCCTGCTGAGACTTCCTCCTTATTCACTCACAGACGAGGCTCCCGCCTGAGATTACCTCCATCCTATACTCGAGCTTGAAGAGGCCAAAAGCGACCACAGTTACAGGATCCCGAGTGCCCGCTCGGATACAAATTACTCCGACGGAAGAACCCCACATAAGAATCCTCTGGGCGAATCTGGAAAAAACCATCACCGTCGTCCTCGTGGTTGGTGAGGCGTCCTGGCTGTCTCTTCTGCGTATATTTCCTGTCGCCGTGGCGCGGGCCCCCCTTCCACTCCTTACGTTGTCCCCATCCTCGCCCCCCTGTTTGTTCCGCGCCCCGCCACCTCCTCCCCTTCCTGTTGCATGAGCGCGCATGTCGATGTTCCTCGGCGCCGTCGCCGCCACGGCCAGCACAGGCGCGTTCTCTACTGGTCACGTCGCGCAGCCGTTGGGACAACCCCGCGGGCCAGGCTGTCGGGACAACCCCGCGAGCCGTTGGCGCGCAAGACCAAGCCGTTGGGACAACCCCGCGGGCTTCGAGCGAGGCGCAGCCGCGCTCAGGCGGAAGGCAGCACGAAACCCAGCTCTGCCGCGAGCTGCTTCGCCTCCGCCCTGGACAAAACCGCCTGAGACTTCCTCCATATTCAGGCTTGAGGAGCCCAAAAGTGACGACAGTTACAGGGTTCCGATGACCCGCTCGGATTACCAACATGATCTGCGGGCCCCATAGGGAGGGAGCTCCCGCCTGAGACTTCCTCACAATTCACTCAGAGACGAGGCTCCCGCCTGAGACTTCCTCCAAATTCAGGCTTGACGAGCCCAAAAGTGACGACAGTTACAAGGTTCCGATGACCCGCTCGGATTACCAACATGATCTGCGGGCCCCATAGGGGGGGGGGCTCCCGCCTGAGCCTTCCTCAGAATTCACTCACAGACGAGGCTCCCGCCTGAGACTTCCTCCAATTCAGGCTTGAGGAGCCCAAAAGTGACGACAGTTACAGGATTCCGATGACCCGCTCGGATTACCAACATGATCTGCGGGCCCCATAGGGAGGGAGCTCCCGCCTGAGACTTCCTCCCAATTCACTCACAGACGAGGCTCCCGCCTGAGACTTCCTCCATTTCAGGCCTGGGGAGCTCAAAAGTGACGACAGTTACAAGGTTCCGATGACCCGCTCGGATTACCAACATGATCTGCGGGCCCCATAAGGGAGGGGGCTCCCGCCTGAGCCTTCCTCAGATTCACTCACAGACGAGGCTCCCGCCTGAGACTTCCTCCAAATTCAGGCTTGAGGAGCCCAAAAGTGACGACAGTTACAGGATTCCGATGACCCGCTCGGATTACCAACATGATCTGCGGGCCCCATAGGGAGGGAGCTCCCGCCTGAGACTTCCTCCCAATTCACTCACAGACGAGGCTCCCGCCTGAGACTTCCTCCATTTTCAGGCCTGGGGAGCTCAAAAGTGACGACAGTTACAGGATTCCGATGACCCGCTCGGATTACCAACATGATCTGCGGGCCCCATAGGGAGGGGGCTCCCGCCTGAGACTTCCTCACAATTTACTCAACGATGATGAGGATGAGGATGATGAGTGGTGGTGAAGATGAGTGGTGAAGAGGATGATGATTGATTGTGAGTGGTGGTGGCGATGATGATGTTTGAATGAGGATGATGCCGATGCCGATGATGATGATGATGATGTTCATGAGCGTGTGAGAGAGTGCGAGTGATGATGATGATGATGAGTATGTGAGTGACTAAGCATGTGAGATAGCATCATCGATGATGCTGATGAGGTTGATGAGAGAGTGTGAGTGAGTGTGAGTGGGTGTGTGTGTGTGTGTTCCTGTTCCTGCGCGGGGTGTCCAGAGAAAACAAGAACCCCACTTTGGATGTGGGGAAAAACACGAGCTGCGGGCCCCACAGGGAAGAGGCTCCCGTTGGAGGCTTCGTCACAGTTTGACTCGCAGACGAGGCTCCCTGCTGAGACTTCCTCCATACTCGAATTTGAAAGGCCACAAGGGAGAACAGTGACAGGATATTACAGGATCCCGATGACCCGCTCGGATTCGTAACATGAGCTGCAGGCCACATAGGGAGAGGGCTCCGGCCTGATCGTTCCCCGCAATTCTCCACATTCGAGGCTTTCGCTTGAGACCTTCTCAACATTCAGGCCTGCGGAGCCAACAAGTGACGACACTTACAGGATCTCGATGACCAGCTTGGATTATTAACACGAGCTGCGGGCCCCACAGGGAGGGGGCCTCCCGCCTGCGACTTCCTCACATTTCACTCACAGGCGAGGCTCCCGCCTAAGACATCCTCCATTTTCAAGCTTGAAGAGGCCAAAAGTGACTGTGGATGATGATGATGATGATATCGATGATGATGATGATGATGATGATGAGGATGATGATGATGAGGAGGATGCTGAGGCTGCTGATGATGATGATGATGAGGTGATGATGGTGATGATGATGCTACTGATGATGATGATGATGATGGTGATGATGATGAGGATGAGGATGAGGATGATGATAAGGATGAGGATGAGGATGAGGATGAGGATGAGGATGAGGATGAGGATGAGGATGAGGATGATGATGATGATGATGTTGTTGCTGCTGCTGCTGGTGATGCTGATGATGATGATGACGATGATGATGATGATGGTGATGATGATGCTAATGATGATGATGATGATGATGATGATGATGATGATGATGATGATGATGATGATGATGATGATGAGGATGAGGATGAGGATGAGGATGAGGATGATGATAAGGATGAGGATGAGGATGATGATGAGGATGAGGATGAGGATGATGATGATGATGATGTTGTTGCTGCTGCTGGTGATGCTGATGATGATGATGATGATGATGATGATGATCATGATCATGATCATGATCATGATCATGATCATGATCATGATTATCGAGATGATGATCCCGATAAGGGCACCCAATAAGGGCACCATTCGGGCTCAAGGGGCACCAGGCGGCTTCTGGCCAGAGGCCGCGCACGCCCCGCACCCGGGCGGCCAGCCTACAGGCCCTATATCCGCGACATGCAGCCGAGCCTCTTTCGGCAGCGCCTGCTGGAGCTCGCCGCCGAGTACGAGGCCCAGCACGCGGCGGCGGCTCGATCCCCGAGGCGCCCCAGCGCGGTCTCCTTCGCCGAGGCGCCCGACGGCCCGGCCGAGGACGGGGCGGCGGAGGGCGGGAGCGGCGGTGGGCCAGCCCCGGCGGCGGGCGCTGCGGCGGCCGCCGACCGTGGCGAGGGCCCCGGGCGCCCGGAGGGAAGCTGCCCGTCTCGCGCTCCCCCCGCGGAGCCGCCGAGGCATCCCGTGGAGAGTGCGGGCACGGAGGTCACGGAGCCGGCGAGGGGCTCCAGAGCAAGTTCAGAGCCGGCGAGGGGCTCCAGGGCAAGTGCAGAGGGTCTCGGATCGCAGCGCGGTTCGATCCCCGAGGCAGTCCCCATCGCCGGCAGGCGCGTTCGCAGCAATGGCTCCACTCCGGCAGGCGTGTACGCACGCAGCCTGAGTTCGGTTTCGGACCTTACTACTATTTCGAGTTTGCCGTGGACGCATTCTGCCTCCATGCTAGAGAGAAACAGGTTCAGCAATCACGTGAGGAAGTCGGCGATCAGGAGATTACCGCAGCAGAATACTAAACATGGACTTGCCTCGTTTGTGAAGAGCCGTTTCTTCAGCGTCTTATCCGCATCCGTGATCTTGGTGAGCACAGCGCTGATTGGTATTGAGACCCAAGCTCTTTCCAGCCTGTCCAACCAAAGGTCAGGGTCGGATCACCTCTTAGTTGTTCTATCAGTATCGAATCATTTTCTCACGTTTCTTTACCTGGCGGAGGTGGCATTGCGCATAAAAGTCTTAGGAATCATGCACCCCAGGGACAGGTGGTGGAATCTATTCGACATCGCCATCCTACTTCCGGCGCTCGCCGAAGTTGCTCTGGACATCGTTGTGCGCGCGTTCTTCGGCAAGGATAGCAACTTGTTCGATAACGGTGGAATGGCGAAGATGCTGCGCCTCTTTCGCCTTACCCGGCTTCTCCGCATCGTTCGAACGTTTCGCCAATTGAAGCCCTTGCGAGTGCTTGTGCAATCTATCGCATCTGCCAGCAAGTCTGTCTTTTGGGCTCTCATACTGCTCGTCATGATCGTGTTTGCCTTTGCTGTTATCTTGACGCAGGCTGTGTCTGAGCATACCGAAGGTGGCACCCGAATAGATGACGGTGATCTACTAGTCAAGTATTACGGAGACCTTTTCCGGTCAATGTTGAGTCTTTGGATGGCTGTGTCGGGGGGGATTAGTTGGCACGAGCTCACCGCGCCGCTGAACGAAATTGGAAGTTCCGCTTGGATGATGCTGTTCCTCATATACGTTACCTTCGTAAATTTCTTCGTGCTCAATGTGGTGACTGGTGTCTTCTGCCAAAATGCAATCGAAGGGGCTCAAACGGATCTCGATCTCACTATCGAGGCCCAGTTCAAGGAGAAGCAGGTATACGCAGACCGCCTGAAGCTGCTCTTCGAGGAGATGAATGCGGATTACGAGACCGATTACGAAGGGCTAACAGCAGCCGATATATACGAGCAGATGGAGAAGCCAAAGGTGCAGTCGTGGTTCAAGGCTATGGACATCGATGCGAAGCAGACGTGGAAGTTGTTCAAGGCCCTCGACCCGGGAAACTCTGGCAGAATCTCTCTCCAGGACTTCGTGGAGGGGTGCCTGCAGATGAAGGGGTCGGCTACCCGCGTGGACGTGGAGTCGCTGAAGTGGGAGATCAGAGCTGCGAATAAGCGCGCCGAGCGCAATGCTGAGAGAATCGCCCAGCTTCTAGAAGCCATTCCAAGATCGGAGGTCGAACTTGTTGACGCCTGTCGCGGATCTGGTGCCGGGTGACGGAGGTGGGCTCTATGCCTTCTCGTGTTCTTCCCTCTCCTCTTGGGAGGGGGAAGCTGGGGCATGTTGGTTGCTCTGCAGCTGCAAAATGCACGCGACAACCTAGCATGTTTAATTCTTGATGTTTGCGAATCTTTGTTTTGGACACCCTGTGCGCACTCAGCCGTCTCGGGTGGGCAGCGAGCCACGGCCGACGTGGTCTTCTCACCGTTCGCTGATCTGCAGGACTGGGAAGACATCGTCCTCTTACAGTCTCCAGTCTCCTGTGCCCTCCTCGAGTCGCCGGTCGGCGTCTGGCGCTCGCAGCCGACGCCACGATTTTTTCATGGGCCGTCCCTGGGATGGGGGCCGGGGAGCCTCTCGGAGGCACGGGGCTCGCCGCGGCCAGAAAACAAAACAACAACAACAACAACAACAACAACAACAACAACAACAACAACAACAACAACAACACCAACACCAACACCAACACCAACACCAACACCAACACCAACACCAACACCAACACCACCACCAACAACAAAAACAGCAACAACAACAACAACAACACCAACAACAACAATAACATGAGTATCGGGATGATGACGTCGATGATGGTGCTGATTATGTTGATGATGATGCTGATGTCGATCATGCTGATGGTGATGATGAGGATGATGACGATCATGACGATCAATTTGCTGCTGAGTATGATGATGCTGATGCTGATGCTGATGATGATGATGACGACGAATGACGGCGACGACGATGATGATGATGATGATGATGATGATGATGATGATGATGATGATGATGATGATGATGATGATGATGATGATGATGATGATGGTGATGGTGATGGTGATGGTGATGCTGATACTGATGATGATGGTGGTGATGATGATGCTGATGATGGCATGAGGAGGCGGCGAAGGGATCCTGCGCAAGGCATCCAGAGAGAACAAGAAACACACTTAGGATGTGGGTAGACACCTGAGGGACATCAATGAATTTTGCCTCTGGGGGCCCTCCTGGGACGGCTCTTGGGGCTCTCCTGGGGCGCCTCGAATGTTTCTTGTCTTTGGTCTCCTTGGGTCCGTCGTGGTCGTCTTGGACCGGTCGTGCAACGATTTCGGACTTTCTTGGACCGTCTGGGCGGCCTTTTGGGCTCCTCGTGGCCTGGTGTGGAGAAGTCGTGCGACAAGCCGTGACGGGCCCCACAGGGCATGCCGGGATACCCACGAGACTGTAGGGTTGATGATTGAGGATCTAAGGATCCGTGCCTTTGAAGGAAAATGTCGGATTGAGGACTGAGGCTTAATGGATTATGCCCAAGGACCTGAGGACACTCCAACTCGTGTCTCAAGCGCACAGTTGCGGATGTTGGTTGTATATGATACCCCCACCCCCGTAGGGGAAGAAGGGGGTTGGAAGACGAAGCGCTCTGGACCACCTGAGCCCAGAGAGCTGGTGGTACATACTCTGATCGCCGACGACTGGATGCGCACAGGGGTTCGCAGTAGAGTGCTGCCTTGGGCCTCTTCTGGGGCCCTCTGGGGCCTTCTTTGGTGTTTGCTTGCGGGAGCTGCCCGGCCAGGACTGTCAGCAGGTCCCAGAGGACCTCGGGAGGTCAGCCAGAAGGACCTGGTTCGAACCTGCGGCAGAGCGAAACAGCGTGCGAGGCCAAGGATACAGGGCATGGGAGAGAGCAGGGCACATACGGTCCAGCCTTGCAAGGATCATGCCTTCATCTTCTCTTCTCTTCCTCCACCTCCCCCAGTTTCTTCCCCGCATTGCCTGTGGATGCGGAAGGTTCCGCGCACGTTGAGCAGTGCGACTGCGAGGAACTCAGCGATGATAGCATTTTATCCTCTGGGCATGCTCGGCCTGCCGCAGTGTCTAGGCCTCCGTCCCGGGTGCCACCTCGGGAAGCGACGAGGCGGCATATGCGGTTGTGCTGTATGGTGTCGGTGGAGTTGTTAGAACTCTGTGCATCATGCGAGTTGCAATTTATGTAGTCGAATGTGCCTGCCTGGTCCCTTGATATGTGCACGAATGGTGTCGCACAGCATAGCGTGCTCTGCGCAGCTCCGCGTTTGCACAGCCCGCACGCTCTGTCCTGCGGGCGTGGCCGAATCGTCGGACCTGTCCCGGAGTCGTAGCTGCACATCCCGCCCTGTCTCACGCAGCCGATTTCTCGCGCCGACTCGACTGTGGAAGCACTCGCTGGGATGTTGGTTCGCCTCTTCTCCAAAAAAAGTGCAGTCCGATGTGCGGGTTGCACTACACTCGATCGGGTGCTACTAACTGACATGAGCAATGAGTTGTCAGCTCCACTGCTCGCGCAAACGTCCCACCCTCCCAACCGCAACTTGTTCGGCAAAACCCACGCGGCCGCGATTGCGGCGGCTGCTTGGCAATGGCCGCCGAATCTCTGCAGCCGCGCTGGTGCGCGCTAGCTCGCTCGCAGGGCGGCCAGCTGGTTTGGTTTGGCATAGCTGATGCTGCCGCGATGGCGCTGACCGCGGGAAACTCCCCAGCGCGTCTCAAAGGCCGCGCTGGCGCGCGGGCACTCTAGTGCGGGTCGTTGGCTCGAGCGGGCAACGGCGGCAACGATGATGGTAGTAGCGATGGTAATAGCGATGATGACGATGATGGCGAGGCCAATGACGGCGCTGATGCTGGCAACGACGATGACGATGATGATATCCATGTTTCGGCGGTGAAGGTGAGGGACTGGTGATGGCGGCAATGGCGGCGATTGGCGATGACAGTGACGTCGGTGATGCGATGGTGCTGGTTACGGTGATGAGAAGGAACTGCGCGAGCAGACATTCAATGTATACATATATGGGAGATCCCGGCCCCCGCGCCCCGGGCCGGAACCTCCCTTGTATATGCGTGGGTCCCTCCCCTGGCGGCGTCCCCAGGGGCTCCGAGACGGCCCCAAGAAGGCCGAGGAGGCCCCCAAGTGGTCCCAGAGGGCCCCGAGACGCCGAAAGATCGCTCCAAGACGCCCACGATGATCCCAAGACGGCTTCAGTGGCCTCCAAAACGCGGCTAGCGGTCTCCAAGAGGCCTTCCCAAGAGGGTCCCAAGAGGCAAAACAGGCCCAACAATGTCAATACACAGCCCAGAAGCCTTCCAATATGTATGTATATATGTGTGTGTATATATATGGGTGTGTAGGTTTATGTGCGTCTGTATGTATGTATGTGCATGCATGCATGCATGCATGTATGTATTATGTAGGTATGTATATATGTACGTATGCATGTATGTATGTATGTATGTATGTATGTGTGTATGTATGTATGTACGTGTGTATGTATGTATGTATGCATGCCTGCATGCATGCATGTATGTATGTATGTACGTACGTACGTATGTCGTATGTATGTCTGTCTGTCTGTCTGTCTGTCTGTCTGTCTGTATGTGTGTATGTATGTATGTATGTCTGTATGTATGTATGTATGTATGTCTTGTGTAGGTATGTATGCATGTATGTATGTATGTATGTATGTGTGTATGGTATGTATGTATGTATGTATGTATGTATGTATGTATGTATGTATATGTATGTGTATGTATGTATGTATGTATGATGATGATGTATGTATGTATGTATGTGTGTGTATGTATGTATGTATGTATGTATGTATGTATGTATGTATGTGCATGCATGCATGTATGTATGCATATATGTATGTATGTATGCATGCATGCATGCATGCATATGCATGCATGCATGCACGCATGTATGTACGTATGTATGTATGTATGTATGGTAGGTAGGTAGGTAGGTAGTATGTATGTATGTATGTATGTATCTATATATATAGATATGTATAGGGGAGGGGGTCCTGGGCCCCCCGAAGTGCACTGATTTGTCTTCTGGCCGTTTCGGGCCCGGCGGGGGGCGGCAAACAACGTCAAAGGGGGCGAGAGACGTCCACGAGGGCGCATTGATGGCCCAAGAGCGCTCCAAGAGAGCCCAAGACCGCACAAGAGCGTTCCAAAATTGGTCCAACATGGCTTTGAAGACAGCCTAAGAGGGCTTCAAGATGGCCACGATGCCCTCAAGGGTTCCCACGAGGCACTCGGGAGGCGAACCAAGTAGGCTTCCTCAATGGTTTTTGACGGTTGTTCGTGTTCTCGTTGTTTCGTGCTTCCCACGGTCCAAGACAGCCCATGAGGCTCCAGAAACCAGCTCAAGACGGCCCAAGAGGCACCCAAAGAGGGCGCCACGACGGCGCAATAGAGAGCCCCAAGACGGCCCAACGAGTGCCCCAAGGCGGCCCCAGAGGCGCCCAAGATCGCCCCAAGAGGGCCCTAAGAGGGGCCCAAGAGGGGGAACACGAACCGACAATTCGAGCCTTCCGCCCCAGTAGGCCTCCAGGAGGCCCCCAAGAGGCCCCCAAGAGAGACCAGGAGGCCCCCTAGAGGCCCCCTAGAGGCTCCACGAGGCCCCACAGGAGCCCCAAAAGACGCCCCACGAGCATCCGTAGCCATTTTGGCTCAAGGTGGCTCTGACTGCAGTGCGCAAGCGCTCATCATAGTTGCCCATCACCATGCAGACCCCGCGACCAGGCCCCTGGGGCCCGAGGCTGCCCACTTTTCCCAAACTCCCCCCTCCCCCCGCGGTGCCCACTGTTTCCCTCGGGGTCCTTCGGGGGGCTTTCGGAGGGCCCGAAGGCGCTCCCCAGACGGTCCAGGAGGCGTCCGAGACGGTCCAAGAGTGCGCCAAGACGCCCAAGATGGCTTCAAGACGGCCCGAGAGGCCCCCCAAGCGCTTGAAGAGGGCTCCAAGAGGACACTTATGAGGGCCGCAAGGAACACACATCGCCCTGATTCCTCGTATGTTTGGCCTATGCGTTCCTGTTTGTATATATATAGATATGTGTGTGCTTGTATGTATGTATGTATGTATGTATGTATGTATGTATGTATGTATATATATATAGAAGTAAATAGCGTCCACGACGGCCTCAGAGAACCCCAAGAGCGCCGCAAGACATCCCAACAAGGCCTCCAAGACGGCCCAAGAAGCTCCCAGGATCGCCCCAAGACGTCCCACAGAGCCATCCAAGACGACTTCCGTAGGCGCCTGTGGATCCCAGAGCGCTCTGCGACAGTCCAAGAGGCCCACAAGGCACCTCACTCCATACCCCTCCCCGCTCCTCCCAGATCGTTCCCATTCCTCCCCATCCCTCCCCGCTCCAGGCAGGTGTGCGCGAGGCGGTTGCGTCTCTGGCCGCGAGATCCTGCCAGTGCATACCTACATGTACGACCACCCTTCGGGTGATAAGGAGGTTGTGTGTGTGTGGCGGTGTGGGGGAGGAAGGGGGACCAACTGGAGCTACAACATAGCATCGCATAGCATCGCATAGCACAGCATAGACGAGC